CCCCCCCCCCCCCCCCCCCTTTATCTGAACGTCTGGGATCTGCCACTGCCCTTTTTGGTAAAATTCTTTGCTGTCAGAGGAAGTCGGACCAATGCCGGCAATCGTCGCTGTAGCCTCTAATTCAATCCAAATTTCCAGCCTGTTAATTGCCTTTCCCAAATACTAATAATTCCTTTAAGGCAAGTCTAAACTGCTTCATTCGAACGCAATGTATGAGCGGGTTAAGCAGAGAATTGGAAATTACGGCAAAGGCGCCTGAAAAATGAACAAAGTATACTGAATTTACTGAATTTATGGCGAAAGTTGATGTAAGACTCCGGGAAATTGTTATTGGCAAATAACAAATTATAACGCAAAAAATTACGGTTGTTGTTAGTTTCAAAGCTTTCTTTTCCTTTAAGAATTTCTCTCTGGCTTCCACCGAGACATGCTGACTTGCTATTTCTTTCTCGTGGCGACGTGTTTCGAAACAGAGCACAACTTGACAGACAAAGATAGTGGCAGTGCAAAGTGATGTTAGGCCAATGTCAAATTTAACGTAATTGCTGCTTGTGAAAAACTTTAAAAGCAGGGTTATTGTCCACAAGAGAGCAGAAACGCCAATCAAACGAGCTTCAGTGACTATGATTTCGTATCTCAGTGAATATTTGATGGCAATGTACCGCTCTACGTTCATCATAGCCAGGTGAAACAATGATGCGATGCCTAACACTCTCAAAACTGTTCTGGCAAAACCTATTAGCACGCAGTACGTACCGGACGTGTTTCCTTGCAGTTCTTCGATAAGCCAACCGATAAAAAGAGGTTGACCGATCACTCCCATAACCGCATCAGTAGAAGATAAACAAGCTAGTGCAATGTTGGACTTGGTTCTCACTTGGTTTTTAGTTTTCACAGCAATCATGATCAGTACATTCAAAACAGCTGTGATAGGACATGTGATGATGCTGATGACTGTGATGAAGACAAGCCAGCCGTAAACTTCCGAGGATGTATGATCAACAGTTCCTTGCGAGGTCAGTCCACATCCATGAACTGCACTCTCCGTTTGTGAGGTTTCGCTAGAATTCATGTCTTCTTTTTGCTTTGATAAAGCTATCTTTTGCGGTTGCGTTGCACGAATATGCTCGGTTGATTATGTATTGCTCGCTTTTATTTCCTGTAATTAAAAATAGTTAATGCGTATGTTGATCCTTGTTAATAAATACGTCACAAATTTGGCGGAAAGTTGGTCTTAGTAAAGTGTTCTTCAATAAAAAAAAGGTATTAGTGAAAAATCTATTGTTGCATCTCAAGCTTAAAAGTGCGAAATCAGGTGGTCAAAGAACAAATGAGAAAGGTGTCGCTAATTCTGATAATAACTAAGCATTAGGGAAATAAAACTTGGTTGTCTTACGCCAATGGACCAATAATCTTACCATTACAAGTCCATTTTCTTTTCGATTAACCTTCGGTGTAAGTTTTCTTAGATAACTGCCTAAACTTTGTATTGTTAAAAAGAAACTTTTTCAATTGCGAATTTGCTGAAACTTTATCAAAATGTTTGAGCGAATCAGGTGAGCAAAAGGAAAACAACGGGAATTACAATTTGGCAATTGTGTTCCTGCGCCAAATAAGAGTAATAAATAACTTGCTTTCCTAATATCACGATTCTTTTATTTTGCAAGTCAAACGACTAAATAAAAGTGCGATGGTTATAAAAAAGGAAAATGATACCTTTTTCAAAAATAAATTTCTCCTTTCCTGCTGATTTCTGGTAAATGTTCAATCGCATGTCGAAGCGCAGCCAACTCGATAGACGAAAGTCAACAACAAAAAGGAGTTCAGCTGCTAGCAGGTTTTCTTTTAGTTAATTGTTTGTCATTTTGTGAAAAAAAAAAACAAAAAACCGCAGCTTCTTAGCATACTAAAAAAGCCCGTTTGAACCAAGCCTTACAGTGAGAGTGCATTGAGAACCGTAAAAATTCACTCGAGGTCAACGATGAAAGAAGATCGCCCGGGTCGACTTGCACTGCTCATATCCGTAAGGATGATGATTGAATCCAACCATCGCATTGTCATGATGGAGTGTGGTCTTCGAGGAAGATCGAGTGCATTTTTGCCTAGAAACTAGTATCTACCAGAGTCTACTAGCTGAGATGTTATTACTATACGCTGCACACGAGTTAACACAGCTGTAGGCTGATTTATCATGCAGAATAAATAAAGATATTATTATTATTATTATTATTATTATTATTATTATTATTACTATATTATATCTCAGAGAAGATGCGCCAACACGGATCATAATGCTATACTTGATTAGCTCATGGCACCTTAACCAAGCTCTCTTATAGTTAAGGATTTTGTCCGATTCAACAAGCGTCTAAGCAAGCAATTCCCTCCAGAAGAAAGACCAATGTCGACAAGGCCTGGGTCAAGCAAGAATATGAAGAACTTGCGGAGCTTTGCGAGAAGAAAGACTCTTGGGTCAGCATGTCAAAAAACTCAGTAATCATTTGCAGAACGCTTGTTATAAAATCAAGGCAGATCAATTAAATCTTGCAAGCAAGCAACGTAGTGATGCAAATAATAAGAATGATATAAAAAGATATATTTGCCAGAAATCACGTTGACAACTGAATTAAAGGGAATTATTTTGCACTTTGATTTTTCTAACGCCAATCCAGCTATAATCTGTAAATCACAAATTCTTTTTGATTAACCGCTGGTGGATTTTTGCTTAAGTCGTTCCTCGTGACATTAACACGAAACGATTTTCAGTCGAACATTTAAATAGATTTCCCTTTTTTTTCGTTTACTTGAGGATTAGCTAAAATTATATCTAAATGTTTTAGAGCGATCATCGTGAAAAGGAAAAACAGGGGGGATGACAATTAACATTGACGCATGATACTGATGCGCCTGAATAACAAAATTGATACTCTTCGCATCATAGCTTTCGGATCTAACCGCTTAGAGCAATTAAAAAAAACATGGGCCAAACTTCTTTAAAAATGTGAATGCTAGTGTAACTCCCATAATACATATTCCTTTAAGCGACACTGTACTGATCTGTACTGTTTCACTTATTAGATTAGCGTCTTTTTTTCTTTTAGGTTTTCGTCTTTTTTTTTTAAATTTTTTTTTTCTTTTTAGTTTTCAGCCCGCTCTGAAAATAGAAAATAGTTCAATGGTTCACAGCACATGTTTATTTCAATGTATTTTGATTTAAATAAACTATTTAAAAAGAGTAATAACTATTAAAGCGAACTTTCGTTCCACATCATCTGGATGGCTATATTTTGCGGATGAATAGATAACTTAAATTGGAATCTTATCGTCATAATTTAGCAAAATGTTACCATTTTCTTCTCGCCCCATGGAAACCGGGAAATTTTGGCTTGTGGAATCTGGAATTCAGCTCAAGGAATTCTGAATGCAAAGAATTACTGTCAAAGAATTCAGAATCCTAGACTTTTTTCAGATTTACTTACTTAGGGCAATTCTTCATTTCTACTATCCTCCGAGAGCCAGCGGCAGATATAGGGGGCGAGGGAAAGTCTAAACGGGCGGAAAATATATATGGAACGAAGAAAAGTAAAGAACGGCGAGAAGAGCCCCTGGGGACAATGTCTTACCAGACCAGTCCCAAACGGTCGCCGCCGTTCTGTCTTGTGATTGGTGCCAGAAAACTTGTGTTTTTCTGACACCAGTCAGAGAGCAGAACGGCGGCGACCGTTTGGAACTGGGCTGGTAAGACATTGTCCCCAGGGGCTCTTCTCGCCGTTCTTTGCTTTTCTTCGCGCCACATTTTTCCGCCCGTTTAGACTTTCCCTCGTCCCCATTATCTGCCCCTGGGTCTCCGAGGATGGATTTCTACTTTCCTGGAGAACGGTAAATTTTCAATCAAGCGCTAAGCCAACTCGAGTGATAAAATAAGCAACGACATAAGTGCAAAATACAAAGTACATTGCGTAATTTTTTTTTTGCGAATGCCAAGAAGAGAGAAACTCTATATTTCTCTAAAAAGAAATCTAGAAAGGAAAGTGAAATAATCAAGGACTCAAGAAAATTCGTTTGACTCTGGCGAAATCGAGACCTTAGGACTGGATCGAGAGGCGCACCGATTGAGTTACGAGGCAAATCGGGATCAGCTAAGTTGTGAGATTTTGAATTTAGTTACAGCACGGTGGAACTTAACTTATTGACACTTAATTAAATCACACTCTTAATGCACCTGAAATTTGTTCATATATTTTCCGCATTAAAAAGAACTTTAACGTAAGAAAATAGGCTGGTATACTTAAAAAATGCCTTTTTAATGTGTCTCAGAAGATATAAGTAGTAAATGGAAATTATAGACCTAAAAATTGATTTCATTCTTGTTAAATAAAGGGGCCCTTTCAGGTTTCATCTACTGCATAAATAATAAGTCAGCTGCGTGCCTCGGATCGTACTACATTTCTTTCGGTTATGGCATTCATATGAAATAAATAAAATAGCTGGAATAAGATATGAAAAAAAGCAATTTATTTTTGATATTCACGAAATGGACAAAATATATTGTTAAGGTTTACATGTCTGAAATGAAAGAGTGTAATTAACATAATTCAGAAAATAAAGCTTGTATAAATCTTGTGTGTGTTGTGGTTCAATTTTATCCTTGGTTTAAATTTTATTTCCCTTTGTTTTAAACTCATTATCATAGATTACCATACCCCAAAACAAAGAAAAATAAAATTTAAACCAAGAATAAAATTGAACCGCAACATGTGTAACCCAAAATAACGAATTCAAATTATGGAATCACACCAGCAGCTGAATTGACCAAAATTTATTAACTTTTCGAAATTTTTCTCTTTTCTGATATATAGCTAAAATGGAAACCTTATTGTTACTTGAAAAGATTTTAATTTTAGCAAACGTCTTCGCGTCAAGAGAAGACAAGGATGTAAACTTTTAATATGCGAGCTAAGTGGGTCCTTTTCTTCAGTTTCTTAAACACAGGTATATCTTTTAAAGTGTTTATGACAGGCATGTTTAAAACACGTACCCGAAATTCAGACTCATCAAACTCTTGCAACGCCTATTTTTCTTCTCCAAAACACGCAAATTTCCCTTGAAAAAGGTCCGCCTTATCGCGCGGCCAAATTGACAAGTATGATTTGCATTAACAAGATGGTCGCAAATACGTTGTCGATAACACCCAAATTATCTTAAGAATCTTAATAGGCTTCGCTGCACCTTTGTTACAGTCTAACAGATCGCTTTATTCAGCAAAACACAAAGCAATGACCAGAACCGGAAGCAAAGGCTGAGCAAATCAACTGACGTCACATGACGGTATCAGCTCTTTGATCCCTTGCTCGTTCATAGTCTCTGGGACATTTCAAGAAAATTCAAGAAATTTTCTGGGAGATACATTTTTAAAGTTCAGAATTGTTGATTAAACTTACCTAAGGACCAAAATCAATGTCATGTCATATACACTTTCAGATGAAAGATAAGGGATATTAGACTGTTCACAGTCCTCTATTTTCCCGTAAGATCATCGAGATTGAGCGCTTTGTGTTACGGGCTGCCATCTTGCATGAGTTTCAAAACTACTGAGGGGGCGAGGGCTGTTTGGCAGAAGCGAGAAAAATAGAGGGACTGTAATAACATCACTGCAGCTCGCGTTCAGGAGGCGTGACAGGAATTGCACGCCTTTTACCATTCATTTAAGAAATTCCGCTGGTATTGAAAAACATGCCAGACACATTTAGCATCGCTTACGCGTGTTTACAAATATCTCCTTGCGAAACAGTGATTTTATAATGTTTCTGGGCCATTCCTCGAAATAAAATCGGCAAACATGCACAAGAAAGCATTTTCCTAATCAAAATACCAAAAATCCTTCGTGTGTTTGCGCAAGATGTGCCTTATGGTATGAAAGCGTACGTTTTATGGAAACGTCGACTAGTCAACGACTTGTCAATGTCG